TCAGTCAGTGATGCAGCACATCCAGTAGAAAGAGCAGCAGGACTTCAGTCCTTCCAGCTCTCATCTTAACGTATTGGAGTGAACACACTGAGCTCCAAGCTCAGAGCATGTTTCCCAGTGTTTGGAAGTCAGCTGCTGTTGTTCCAGTATTCAAAGATTGAGATCCCCTTTCTACCTGTAATTACAGACCCTTCAGTATCCTGCCAACAATATCAAACGTTGCAGAGAAGTTGGTAGCTGAGCAAATGATCTGCCATTTGAATACCAGTTCTTTTGCCCTTCACCCAATGCAATTCGGCTTCAGAGCCAATTATTCTAGTGAGACAGCACCTGTTTCTTCACAGACAAAAATCTAATTTCTAATGGACAAAGGGGGAGTTGTTGGAGTTGTGTTTCTTGATCTCAAGAAGGCATTTGACACTGTTAACCATAGCATTCTTTTGTCTAAATTGCACGGCTATAATTTCTCCTCAGGTACACTTAAATGGATTGAATCTTATTTGCTAAATAGATCACAGTATGTCCAAATACAGAACTATCAATCTACCGCCCTCCACTTGTCCACAGGCGTCCCACAAGGATCTGTCCTGGGCCCACTGTTGTTCTCTTTATATACAGTATCAATGATCTGCCATCAGCATGCCCTGACACCAACATCCAAATGTATGCAGATGACACTGTGATTTACTTGCATGGTAGCAAAATGGGACAAGTGGCAAATGAACTCACTAACTCCATGGTTCATGTAACTGCATGGTTAAAGCAATGCTGTTTACAACTAAACGTATCCAAAACAGTGTGTATGTTTTTTACCAAAACAAACTCTGGTAGTGTAGAGCCGGATGTTTGTGTATCTGGGGAGAGGTACGGGTTGTACCTGACTACAAGTATCTCGGAGTACTTTTTGATTCCAAATTGTGATTCAAATCTCAGGTGAAAAAGGTCTGTAACCGGGTCAAATTTAATCTATCAAATTTCAGGTTCACACGAAACTACATGTCAACAGAGGCAGCTAAGACATACATGTTTGCTATGGTCGTTTCCCATATCACTTACTGTTTAACAACCTGGTCACAGGCTAGCACCACTACTCTGAAACCACTACAGTCATTGTATAAACGTACACTCAAAATCCTTGATAAAAAATCTGTTCTTTCTCATCATTGCCCTATACTAAAAAAATATAACTTGTTTAGTTGGGAGAACATGATTAAATATGTGACTGTCTGTCTGATGTACAAAATTATACATGGCTTGACCTCTCCTCCGCTCAAACAATTTGTGATCACAAAAACAACTGGTTATCAGCTCACAAGAGGAGCAGCAAGAGGGGATCACATTATCCCACTCAGGAAAAGTGCTTTCAGTCAATCTGCCTTTTCTGTACAAGCTGCACTACAATGGAACTCCATCCCAGTGACCATTAGAGAACTACACACATACAGGTCATTCAAATCCCACTTACAGAAATGGTTAGTTAGTACCCAGCTCTGTCAGCACTAGTTTGTAACTGTTTCTCTGTCTGTGCTGAACTTCCCTCAATCTGTCTGTTGTCACCTTTCTGTCTTTCTTTAAATTGCCGGTCGACCGTCAACTACCTGCATGCATGTCTTTTATTGTTGTTTAGCTGTGTCTGACTGATTTATGTATTTCACATACTCTGTATGCTTTTATGTTTTGTGATGTTTTTTAGTGTCTAAACAACTACAGCATAATACTGTTTTAGTCCATGTTTTAACATAGTTGTTCTCACTTTTTTTCATTGTTTGTACACGCATTGTTAAGTGTCAATATTGTATAACCTTTTAACTTTAATCTTACATTGTTTTTAGGTTTATTGTGTAACATCTGCCTCTTGGGACTACAGATGAAAAATAGCCTTTTGGCTAACTCTGGCACATTTGCAGAAATGTTTTTATTAATGTGCACTGTCCCGTTCAAATAAACCAATAAATAAATTAGTGTAGTTAGCTGACAGCTAATGTAGCTAACGCTAGTTATCTTAGTGTAGTTAGCTGACAGCTAATGTAGCTAACACTAGTTATCTTAGTGTAGTTAGCTGACAGCTAATGTAGCTAACACTAGTTATCTTAGTGTAATTAGCTGACAGCTAATGTAGCTAACACTAGTTATCTTAGTGTAGGTAGCTGACAGCTAATGTAGCTAACACTAGTTATCTTAGTGTAGTTAGCTGACAGCTAATGTAGCTAACACTAGTTATCTTAGTGTAATTAGCTGAATCTAAACTAATGCATCATATTTAATAAACTGATCACATGTTTAGTATTTTAAATATGAATCTGATAACTACAGCTGTTTAATAAATGTAGTGCAGTAGAAGTATAAAGTAGCATAACATGAAGTATTGAGGTAAACAGTAGAGGTACTTTAAAACTGTACTACAGTACTAGAGTAAATGTACTGTGAAATGAAGAAAACAAAGATGGAGGTTTAATGTTGGACTTCAACACTGAATGTAATCCAGCTGCAGCACTTTTCCTTAAAGCTCCTTCAGTGAGGAGAGAAGTGTCTCTAAAGAGGTGGATCCAGTGTTTCACAGCTCAGCTTCATAGTGATGCTGATGGATGTTATCTGTGTCCGTGTCACAGGGTTGAACCCGGCCTGTCTCCCTGTGTGTCTGAGTCAGATGAGACAGAAACCTGTTGTGTGTTGGAGTCTCATTGTTGGTGCAGCAGCGCCTCCTGCTGTCCAAACCAACAAACCAGCAGCTGAAGTCTGACCTGCTCTCCATGTTAAAGTCCTCCTTCAATGTTACAGTGATCAATGGAAACTTTATGGACAATGTTGAGCCTTCACACGGAACACAAGTAACAGAGATGTTCAGCTGCAGACAACAACACAACAACAACAACAACACAACAACAGATTCATTTTTATATCACAACTTCTTGCCCTAAATCAGGCGGCCATTTTTAAATTCAGTTTAACTTTGATGAACATTTGAAGTCAGTTCTGAAGTTATTGATGCTTCACAATTTGTTCTTACTCCGTAACTTTAGATACTTTACAATATTAATAAACAATATGTTTGTATTTCGTGATGAATCTAAACATTATGATCATTATGATGATAATTCATAAAACTACTGTTCTTGTTTTTTTATGTGTTTGTTGCGTCCCTATATTGCACAATGACAACACACCATCCTTGAATTCTTACATAATTAACGAACTCTCGACGCCGATTGGCCGAGCACACGCACGGAGGCGGGTCTCCACTTTTAAAGCCTGCGTTCTAATTTGTAGGCACGTTCTCGAAGCCTTCGTTCACTGGACCAATCAGAGTGCCAAGGCACTTCACGGCAACCAATGGGCGAGCAGAGGAGGGCGGAGTGGGCGGGACCAGCGGTGTAAACACCAGCAAGCCGGTTGTCTCGGCCGTGGCTAAGCTAAGTTAGCTCCTCCGACCTCCCGCACTTTGAACCTCCGTCTCCGGGTTTAAATGGCCGCCGTCGCGCTGAAGCTGTCCGCTCCCTGGCGCTTTGTCACACTCAGGAGGTGAGTACCGCTATGTGAGCTGACGTCATGTACGACTGCTCGTTCACGTCAGTTTATTTGTGTTTGTCTCGTTCTTGTGACCGTGCTAGCTTACAGTCCGTGTAGCTGCAGTTAGCTTGTTAGCAGAGACCTTTGCTCCAGATGACGTCATCTAATTTATTCATGATTCTGAGTGCTGAACAAACTGAAGCGGAACGATCAACTAATTATTACGTCATCATCATCAGCTAATGTTGAGACAGATACACAGAGAGAGAGACAGACAGAGAGGGTTATAGCACTGAATGTCTCTCCAGTGGACTCGTGTAACTACTGGATCAGTATTTTATACTCGAGGTATCGGAGCCTCAACAGGAGACACAGTAAGGCGTCCCTTTAGTAGCTCACTGAATCTCTTCTTCTCCCTCAGACTCTCCAGCGTCCCCCGTCTGAAGCTCCACTCCTCAGCCTCTTCCATGATGGGTGAGTATCTGCTGCCACCACCTCAACCAGGTCCTTCACTCCACATCTGGAACATAGGAAACTATGACAAGATAACAACAGCTAAGCTCTCCGCCCCCTCTGCTGCACACGGCACCAGAGAGAGAGAGAGAGAGAGAGAGAGAGAGAGAGAGAGAGAGAGAGATTCTTGTGACGATGCTAGCTAAAGTCCATGTAGCTGCAGTTAGCTGTGTGCTAGCTGAGCCCTTTGCTCCAGATTCATCATCACCTTCATCGTGGTAGTGATGATGTCATCGTGTTCAGGTGTGACGGTGCAGCAGTTCGATCAGGCTAAGGACAGACTGTCCTCCCTGAAGAAGGACCCGGGAAACGAGGTCAAGCTGCAGATCTACGCTCTGTTCAAACAGGTGAGCTCACCGGCTCCTTTATTGTGAAGGGGTCAACAGGAAGAAGAGGGGGGGGACACGGTGGGGTCTGTTCTGCTCTAGTTCTCTCTTCTTCTAGTCATGATGGTTGTGTTTCAGAGAGGAGCAGGACTTTTATTTTGAAGAGACAGTGAAGCCTACAGTCATGTTTCCTCCTCCTCCTCCTGCAGGCCACTCAGGGTCCCTGTAACACCCCAAAACCAGGCATGCTGGACTTCATAAACAAGGTGAAATGGGACGCGTGGAAGTCTCTGGGCTCCGTGTCACAGGTAGGACCGCTCCATGTAGCAGGGGGGTCCTTTGGGCCGGACCAATTGGACACAACCACGGGTGTGAACCTCTGTTTGTGTCTCAGGATGAAGCCCGGCAGCAGTACTGCGACCTGATTGGCTCCCTGGTGGCAGCAGAAGGTGGGAGCTCCGCCCACGTGGCCGCACGGCCTGCTGGGAGCGGACCGGCGTACGAGACGCTATTGGTCACGACGGAGGATGACATCACCACCATCACACTGAACCGACCGGCCAAGAAAAACGCCATCACTACTGAGGTGTGTGTGTGTGTGTGTGTGTGTGTGTGTGTGTGTGTGTGTGTGTGAGTGAATATATTAATATGTGTATATTTGTTCTGTTCCTCTTTTCTTTCAGATGTACAATGACATCATTGCAGCTCTGGATCAGGCAGCTAAAGACGACTCAGTCATCACAGTTTTTACTGGTACACACACACACTTACATACACGTACACACACAGTTAAAACATGGTCGTACGCTCCTTGGTTCCCTCTGACTCTAAAGGAACCCTCCCACTGACGTGTCTCTGTCTCCACTGACGTGTCTCTGTCTCAGGTGACGTGTCTCTGTCTCCGCTGACGTGTCTCCAGGTTCTGGTGATTTCTACTGCAGTGGAAACGATCTGTCCAACTTCACCCAGATCCCTGAGGGGGGGGTGGAGGAGTCGGCCCGACGGGGAGGAGACCTGCTCAGGTGAGCGAGAGGCTGCGGACCTTCATCCAGTCTCTGTTACTGCTGATCACATCCCACCCTCAGAACCAGATCAGCTGCTGGGTCATCAGAGGAGAGGCTGAGACATGTCAATAGATTCATGTATATCCTCCTCTTCATCATCTTCCTCTTCCTCCACAGGAAGTACGTGAAGGCCTACATTGACTTCCCAAAGCCGCTGGTTGCCGTGGTGAACGGACCGGCTGTAGGAATCTCTGTCACGGTGTTGGGACTGTTTGACCTGATCTATGCTACGGACAGGGTACACACACACACACACACATATACATACACACACACACACACACACACACTCACACCTGCCCACGCACGCACACACACACACACCTACACGCGCGCGCACACACACACACACACACACACACACACACCTACCCACGCCATAACGTCGTGTTGTTGTTGTTGTTGTTGTTGTTGTTATAATCTTCATCTTCATTCTCCATCAGGCCACCTTCCACACTCCCTTCAGTCAGCTGGGTCAGAGCGCAGAGGGATGCTCCTCCTACACTTTCCCCAAAATCATGGGCCCCGCCAAGGTACACACCTACACACATATACACACACACACACACACACACACACACACTCACACCGGCCCGCGCACACACACACACACACACACACACACACACACAGACAGTGAATATTGTCTTCAGGTTTTGAACTGTTGATTGATGACTTTGAGACCTTGTGATTGGTCGGTTGAGTTCACAGCTCAGTACTGATCAGTGAATCTATTCATAGTGAGACCAGAAGAGACCACATACACTAGCTGCTGTTAAACTCATAGCTCCTGCCCCTCCTCCTCCTGCCCCTCCTCCTCTTCCTCCTCCTCCTCCAGGCCACTGAGATGCTGCTGTTCAATAAGAAGCTGTCAGCGGTTCAGGCCTGTGAACTGGGTCTGGTGACAGAGGTTTTCCCCGACAGCAGCTTCCAGTCTGAGGTCTGGACCAGACTGAAGGTCTACGCCAAGCTGCCCCCCAAGGTACGCACACACACGCGCACACACACAGAGATTCAGGTCCTGCCATAATGCCCCGCCCCCCCCCCCCCCCCCCCCCCCCCCCCCAGTCCCTGTCCCTGTCTAAGCAGCTGGTCCGGTCTGTGGAGAGGGATCGTCTCCACGCTGTGAACGATGCTGAGGTGGAGCTCCTGAAGGAGCGATGGACGTCAGACGAGTGCTTCAACGCCGTCATGACCTTCTTCCAGGCCAAGGCCAAGGCCAAGCTGTGAGGTGTGCGTGTGTGTGTGTGTGTGTGTGTGCGTGTGCGTGTGCGTGTGTGTGTGTGGGGAGAGGACATGGAGGATGGTCTCTCTCGATAGTTGAAGCGCCTTAAACACTTTGTAACGTCTCAGAGGATTAAACTCTTTGTTTGATTCTTTGAGTCTTCAGATTATCTATGAATCAGTGATTATTATTGTTTGTTGATTGTTTGATGGAACGCTCTCTCAGTGGTGACGTCTTTTAAACAGACGTCACCGTCATAGAGAACAAACATTAATATTCAGTTTTTTGTTTTGATCAAAACTCGACTAATCGTGTTTCTAGTGAAATTAATAAAGATTTCCATTTGTCCTGGAGTCCTTGAACTGCTCTTCATTCACGGCAGCAGGTGGAGGAAACAGAACGTAATGAAGAACAACAGAAACACATGATTCACTGAAGCGACGTACATGATGGAGAAACTGTATGAAGTTCACATTTATAACAAGAACGTTTACTCATTTCAAACATGTAACTAATAAGAACGGTGAACACACACTCTTCATACACAACCTCTCAAACACAATATCAATGAATATGAGTGGTCAGAACGCTGCTCGTCTTCATCACGATCTGTTCTAACGTATCAACCAATGAGGACGGAGCTGCTCTGGTTCACTGTAGTGTCATTGCTCATCCACCAGGGGGCAGCACTCACCCGTTCATCCTCTGCATCACTCACCTCAGTACTTCTACTCTGTAGTGGTACTGCAGTAACAGTACTTCTTCCCTGTGTGATGGTTGTAACTGGAGCTCAAAGTACTCGTTTAAACATGTTGACTGAGTGAAGTCAGCGTGTCGGTGACAGAGCGACAGAGAGCGTCTCTGAGGGTTGAGCCCTGCAGGCCACCGTACCTCTCCACAGTCCTGAGCTCTCATGTGTTTACTGCAGTCTGAAACATGCGGCGCTCTGCAGCCTCCCCACACCACCGGGACACTGACCCTCAGCCTGGACCTGGAGAACAGTTCACTGATGAGATGATGATGCGTTAGCGCTGCATGACGTCAGGCAGCGTGAGTTGGAGACGTTGGTTCCACTTAATGGTAAATCTCATTTTAAGGCTAATACACATTTAATCTGGAAACAGTTCATGAACATGACTTTACCAAAGCACGCACATCCGGACCAAAGCAGAACACATGGCTCTCATGAACATTTGTTTAATAAGTATATGTATTTAATAAGTATATGTATTTAAATGTATTTATTAAGTGACCTGAAGAAGAAGTAGTCTTCTTGGATCTGACTTGGAACAGGAAACATTAATGAAGAGACTAGTATGCTAACTGCTAATCTGTTAGCATGCTAACTGCTAATCTGTTAGCATGCAGACTGTTGGTGTGAGTAACTGTTGCATGTTGATTTAAACCTTTTTATTCGTGTTCAGGTCGTTTCTTCTGCTCGTCATGAAGCAACAGACGTATGAGTTCAAATATCAGTGAACATAACACACATGTAGCGTCAGCAGAGCTATCAGCGAGTACAGTGAAAGTCTTCAGAAGAAGAACATTGGAGGTGTCTACCTGAGAAGCTCCTAATCTGTAACCTCTGAACTTCTACGTTGGATGAACTGGAAGGTTCAGACGTCAGTATTTAACACTCTGCTGTACTTTCATAAGTTCTACTCTCCAGAAGTCCGGCTCACGTTCTGATCTTCACTCGGACGAGGTGACGCTCCGCCACAAGTCAGTTTCATGTGTTGACTGTGAAACCCTGATGGGTGAGTTAATCCTGACCGCTAAATATAATCTGCTGCTGAATGAAGACATGAACGGATGTTACGGCCACTAGGGGGCAGCGGAGGAAGCCGTGAGCTCAACATCTGACTTCTTATCAGCTGCAATGAAGGCGTGAACAACCAGCTACAGATCTCACAGTCTACAGATACACCTGATCTCTCTTGTAGCTCTGTGTTTGGTCTCCTCCCACTAAACTAGGTTAGAGTTAAAGAGGCTTCAGAGATGCAGAGAGAGTTCATCCCTCGTTAGTGGAAGTATTTAGATCCATTAGTCGTTCCGTGTTGGTGTGGAAACGTTTCACTTCCACCATGTTCTCATCCTCAGGAACACGTGAGCAGCAGCTGCTCCCGTTCATTCCAGTTTAAGGTCTTCACAGTAGAGCGATCAGTGTTCAGTCCAGCGGAACCTTCTCTGAGATGACAGTCTGAGGAATAGCGACATGTTGTGGTGAGCGGACACGTCCTTCAAGTGAAGCTCGAGACAGGTGTCTGGAGAAACGCTGCTACCCTCCTCCTACCCTCCTTCTACCCTCCGCTCTTCCTCTTCCTCCCTCTTCCTCCCCCGTCACTCACATTCACTCTGCTCTGTTCACACCCTGAGTCGTATTAAATCACTAAAACATGCTTCAAGTCACTTTTCAATGTTTAAAGTTCGTCTCTTGTTGTCTTTGGCGACGCCTCTGGTGATACGAGGTAACTGCAGGTGTGCGTTCGTCTGCAGTCGTCACTTCTTTCCCGGTTTCGTTGGAAGCGTTTTAATCTCAACGCTAGAAGACGTCTGAAACACTTCTCAATCTCTGTTCCCTCCTTCAGTGGATCAGCTGATCGCTGCGGCTCTTACGTCACATCGCGGTGTGCTGTGTGTTTGTTTGAGTCATATCTGTGTATTGAAGCTTGTTTACCTGAGTGTTTGTATGATCTATGTTCTGCATGAGATATGAGATGCAGCGGATTCAAATTATATTTCATCTTAACAGTTTTATTTCTTGAACCAAGATGAGGAAAGAACCACGAAAGTCTTCATCTGAGAACGTTTGTCTTTCTGTTGAACTATTGAACAGAGTTCTTTGAGAAGATGAAGAGAGTGAAAGTCTGAGCTTCATGTTTAACAGTCAGGTAGTTAGTATGTTCATGAATATATGAATACAGTAATTATGTGTGATGTAGACACGCTCTTAAAGCGACAGTGCAGCCTTTTTTAACATAAATAAACCGATTGATGAGAGAGAGAGAGATGCAAGCTCCTTCATCGTCTCCTCCTCACTGCTCCCTCCTCTTCATCAAACAGTGAAAACGTGACACCTTGTGTGTGAAACGATGAAGTGATGTTTCCTGTAAGTGAAGATGATTCACTGTTTCATTCTGATCCCACGACGGCCATCGAAGGTAAGAACTATTACGAGGACGGAGAGGAGGAACCGCATGAAAGAAACCATCTTCTTACAATGAGATCATCACTTTAGACTGGAGTCTTTGTCTCATAGATGATCGATTTAAAGCTCTAGTTCTCTCTGAATGTTTCCTTTAATGGTTCTAATACGATGTCTTACAATCCAGAGGAAGAGGAGCAGCGTTAAATACAATCATTTATAAAACACATTTAAACTGCAGATTAACCAATAACTCAAAAAAATAAAAAGTTGGACACCTGTGTGTGTGTGTGTGTGTGTGTGTGTGTGTGTGTGTGTGTGTGTGTTTCTTTAACAGAGTTCAGGTGAAGTTCATCAGTGACTATGTAGGACAGCTTACTGCCTCATAGATCAACACTAATGTACAGAGCGGTCCTCGGAGACTCCGATGCTGCCGGGGGGGATTCAAAGCAAACAGCCACAGAAAAAGAGATAATGCTGCGTTCGAGGTCCGCCGGGAATAACCGTCGGAAGAACTCCGGCGGTTAAAAGCGTCGGCTTGGAAGAGCGTTTGAACTCGTTTGAAGCGGCAGACGAGGTTTCTCTCGGCGTCGTAATTTATTCTCAGCCTATCGCACTTTGTTGAACCCACTTCTTCTTCTTCTCCTCGACCTGCTGGAGGCGACCTGCACCTGTAACGTAGAGACCTGTCAATCACTGTGTAGCCCCGCCCTAAAGCATCCCCTGCTTTATGGTCTGTTTGACTCTAAATGGACCATAATGTACTAAATGAACATCATGCTGTATTGAAGAAGACTTGAAACTAGAGATTGAGACCATAAACTCATGTTTACAATGTTTACTGAGGTAATAAATCAAGAGAGAAGTAGAGTCATTTTCTCATAGACTTC